CCATGGCTTAACCCTTAGGGCACTGCCTCAAATAAAGAGTGCTTCACAGAAGCAAGGCAGGTTGCAGCATCCGTGGGAAGCTGGGCCTACCCTCCTCCACCTACGGAAAAGCTGTCCTGCCTGGCTTGCAGGACGCATCGGATACCTGACCATCCTCATTGTCAGTACAAACTACTACCAACGTGTGCATGTGGGGACCCCGCGCCCCACACTGCTGCAGTGACATGGGTTGGGCTCACAACTCTTTGTAGTCTCCTGGTTTTGCTCTGCCTGCCCTCAGTTCAGCAGGTTTATTAAAAAACATGCTCCATGCAGGCAGATTTGGGGCTGCAAGAAAGGAATAGGGGTGAGGAAGGAAGCAGGTGGGACCGGGCACTCCCCTTGGCACTCCTGCAAGGACTCCTCTGCTCCCGCCCCCAGGTACAGCCATTTCTCCATGCCCAGGTGCAAAGCAGAGACAGCGAGGGATGCCACGCCGTTACCCCCGCAGCCTGCACGTAGGCAAGAGCGCAGTGACAGCACTCCTGATTCTTGCCTTGTCTGAGATAAGCTCAGACCCACATCCCGAGCAGCAGCCCATAAATCACACGTTGGAGGAAGCAGTGCCACGGGACTGTCTGTAATCATATGCCCTGCACGTGGGAATGCAGAGGGGATGGAAGGTGCAGCCAGCTGTCCCTGCCCTAGCATGATCCCTGACACAGGAGAAGGTAGTATGGAGCAAGGGCTGCTTTGCAGCACCCAAAAATGCCAGCTCTGCACCTGGGATGGAACAGAGCCACCCTGTAGCACCCTGAAACACCACCTCCATGGTAGACAGAGCAGGCTTGCACCGCTGCACCCCAAAACACCGCCTCTGCAGACAGGATGGAGTAGGGCCACCTTGCAGCACCCCAGAATGCTTACAGCACTACCAGCTGCTGTAACTTCCCCTCTGCCCCTTTCCGGTCCCGCTCCGCCCCTCCCTGCCCCCCAGGCCACAGGGAAACTGAGTCACAGCGTGCTGTCCCTGCCCCAAGGAAGGAGAGCGGGTGGGCAGTCCCCAGCGCCAGGCACAGCATGGGGAGTAGGGCAAGGGTCGTACTGACACCTCTGAAAACCCCAGCGAGGGGGGGAGATAAAGATACCCACATGTCCTGCACTGAGCAGCTATCCGAATTACAAGGTTCCTCCGTTCCCACCTCTCTTGAAGCAGAAGTTGGCCATACTCTGCTGCTGGCCATATGGACTGCACCCAGCTCTGCCGGGCTACATCTGCCCCCCCAGACTGACCCACACGCTCTCTGGCACCAGAGGGGATGGGGACATGCAGGGCTCTGCACCAGATGCACGTAACTTAGCATGGCCCAGAAAAGAAAGGTAATGCCACATAGGAACAACAACAACAAAAAAAATTCAAGACCCAGATATAGCGTTATAAACCAGAAGAGTGCCCTCACCTCCAAAAAGCTGGTAGCGGACTGGAGGTTTCCTTGAGAGCAGATCATTGCATTCTTTACTTTGAAAGATTCATGCATTTGTGTAGAGACTTGGATTCTTCAGTCCAGCTCTAGGAGCTGATTGGTTTCCAGGTACTGCCCTCAGCCTCTGTTTTCACCACACCCCGCCAAAAACCCTTTGGGGCCCTGCTCACCAGTTAAGCCTTCCCAGGACCAGGTCCTATCTGCAGCCCTTGCTCTAGCTGAGCACAGCAGTGCTCACCCACACCAGCATCCTTTAAAACCCCTATGTCTGGTGCAGTAGCAAATCACCACCCATCTACCTTGCAGGCAGAGAAGCTAAAGATAAAGATTTGTTCATTCAGGCTCCAGGTCAGACATCTCACTAACGTTACTGAAGTTACGGTTTCTTTACTGCATTTCTCAAGATCTCAATGGGGTTAAGAGCCCAGCGTTGTCCAGTTCAACTGGGCCACGGAACAAGAAAGCTGAGCTCAAGCTGCAGAAAATGCACAGCTATTATGCACTGCCCATCTGCAAATCTGGCATCTTTCCCCAGGCTCACCTTTCTTGGTTGCCTCGCTCCACCGTCCTGGGGACTCTGAAAACAAACCCTTTCAACCCCTCCCCAGGGAAGCGTGTTCAGGGGGTATTTGCTGCTGCTGCCAGGCAAAGCATAACATTATTGCCAATATGCTTGCCCCAGCTCTATCTCCCAGGACAACATAACAGTAGACAGTAGATTAAACTCATAACAGTAGATTAAACTCATTATCCCCTATCACTTTATGGCACAATCTTTTCATTTCTCTGTTAACACACATCGGAGACGTATTGAGTTTCAGGCAGGCTCACTCCAAAGGAAATCCCCTGCTCTTTCCTTACAAGGATTTGCACAAGCAATACCTTTTATTTTTGGTAGCAAAAAAAGCCCAAACCAAACCACCACCACCACCACAAAAAAAAACCAAACCAAAAACCACTCCAAAAAAACCCAAATCCCCACTTGGAGGTTCACTCCAGACAGAATTTGACTTTTCTTTCCAGACCACCACTTTGGTCAGACCCTTCCCAGGCTCTGGAGGGCAACATTCTCACTACTGCTCACACTGGTGCAGCTCCATCAGCAGCGTTTGCAGTGTAGTAAGGAAGCTTTCAAGGGTGAGATGCCTTCTCCTTCCCAAAAGCGACCAGCACATGAACACAGGCATTTCCTGGTAAACTGCTCCTCCTTGCTTCCAGCCTCTGCTACAGGACTGGCCTCTGATAGCAGCCTTCCTCCGGAAGCACCGCTGCGTTTCGCTCAGTTACTCTTAACAGTATGATACTGTAAGGAAACAGAATTAAACAGAGCTGTAATCTACAATAAATCATTCCTACTGAGCTGCCAGGGAGATAGCGGCACAGGAGAGAGGAGCTGTACGTCTGTTTCCTCAACAAATCTAAGCCATGAAACAGCCCTTCGGTTACAGGGAACAGGCACAGCAGCAAGAGGAGCATTTTCAGGGTGGCAGATTGATGCCACCAATTTTTTTTGTGTTCTCTCTATCCAGATTTATCACATGGCCAGGACAGATCACTGCAAATACCTTAAGATCCCAGAGTGTCAGCCCAGGGGAGGGGTCAGCGGACCAGACCCAAACAAAAAGCCTGAGAATACTTTAGTTCCTCAAAAACTGCTCATATTTTTAGCTGTTGCTGCTCCTAGAAGATGAATTGAAAGCAAAGCTCAGACCCGCTACTTGATGCCATAACTGCTTTATTTTGCTGGCAGCCACAGCAGAGAGGACCTTGAGAATTACCCTTTTTGTCCACCACTGGCCCAGCTATGTTAATCTCATCAGTAATGCAAACACTGGTATAGAAAGGACTCGAGTGACCTGTGCTAACCTGTCTGTGCTATGCTCTCTCTGCACAGCTACAGCACTGCTGACTGGCAGTAAGAAAACCCCAGCGCACAGAGTCCAGGCGTTTTCCCCAGGTCTGAGCTGAGCAAAGAGTTGGCTCTTGCAAGCTATTCTTTATGCATCTTCCAGAAGGGGCAATCTGTACAGCACTGCTGGGCTCCACTGTCTTCTCACAATTTAGAGAATGCAGGTAGAAACACCCACCGAGTCAAAGTTTCCTCTTGCTCCCAATGATCCATCATCTCTCTGCTGAAATCCCCAGCACTCTTTCCACAGCAGCAGCATTAAGGTTGCTCCTGATGTCCAAAAGGACACTGGCCATTTTTTCAGTGATGCTGCTCAGGATGGTGTCCCCATCTGACTACTAGCAGGTATGCATGTCCCGGACTTGCCTAAGGCAACGGCAGCAGTAAAGCACAGCAGCACGTAACCCACACAGTACTTTCCAAACTTCAACGCCGCAGCTCAGCGAGGAGGAAATCTCTCTTGGCTGCCTCTCCTTAAATGCTTATTCCAGCACTGCCTGTCTTAACTCCTCCCCAAATCAGGAGCAGAGTATGTGACCCCACTGCCTTTGGGCTTTTCTGATCCTTTGTGCTGTGCTTAAAAATGTGTAGTACGAACAGGCAAGACTGAAAAAGAGGGAGCAGCACTTCAAAGATGACACGGTTATAACTCATCAGGTCACAGCGCCCAGGAGCTTGAGACTTGGGCAAGGATCTCAGTATGTGAGGTGCTATACAAACAGCAAAAGAGAAAACACCCTCTGCCCTAGAAACGGGCAATTCACACCCCAACACACATGCATAACCCAGAGCCTTATCTGCTGGGCTCTGCATCCACTCCATGATATTTCATAGCATATCTTGGGGCCTCAGTCCACAGGAAAGATCAGAAACAACAGGCTGTGAAAGTGGAGACAGAGGGAACTAGGGTTTGGCTCAATGGATTCTGACCATGCTCCCGCCACCACCCACACCCGTAATATATTGTAAAGCCAATTCTCACACCAAGTGCTGAAGGTCACATACATGAAGAGCAGTGCTCGAGCTGAAATTGCCTTCAGTGTCAGGTACCAGTGTTCCAGCTTCCTCCATGGGAAGGAAGCTCCAGCCACCAGTGCAGAGCAAGCTGTTCCCCTCTGAAAAGGGAAGGAACCTGTCATAAGCAGGAGGGAGGAAGCACGCTACTGTCTGCCGCAGGCGGCTTTCCCAGGGGCTCCATGTTCCACCTTCCACCTCCTTGTTTGCTCTCTTGGGAACACTAGGGTCTGGAGTCCAGGAGACATTTTACAAACAAGTCTAGCCTCTTTGGGAGTTTTAAGATGGCTGGAACTGTAGCACTGGACAGTGTTGGGCAGTCTGTACAGATCTTATAATCACCCCAAATCCGAGATGGACAATTTCCGAGATTGGAAATAGTGAAATGGTTTTCAGGGGAATTTCTGAGGCTTTGTACCCTGGTTCAGAGCTGGATGGAGGGGTCAGAGCTCAGGCAAGGATCGTGACATTTGTGGGCACAGGGCCATTTGGGCAGCTCACAGACAGGCATCCTTTCCCCTCAAGTTTTGCCTGAACATCCTAGTCCCAGACAAACTCTGGCCACAGGCACTACAGCAGCGTGTGCCACCCCATGGCAACCCCACACATCTGACCTCAGAGCATCCTCCGAAGGTGGGGCAGGTGGAGCAGGCTCCTTCCCCTCTTGTTCCGGGCTGAGCGCAGAGCTGCGGGCAGGGCCCTGTAGCTCACTGCGAGCACTGACCTTTGAGAGCTGTAATGAGAGAGGTTTACAGCTCACACAGCCATCCATGTTGAGACGGGCAAGCTGTGCTTGCTGCCAGCTGGTCCCTTCCCCCTGGCTCGCATCCAGGGCTTTAGGCACATCATGGATGACAGGTCAGGTCTCAGTCACGCTCACATTATGGCCAGGCTGGAGCCAGCTTCCTGACCTGTTCTCTCTGCGCGGCGAGCGGCACGATGTTCCCTGCTTCCTTCAGCAACAGGAGCCAGCTCTCTACCAGCATCTGGAAAGGGGTCTGCCCAAAGGCAGCTTCAGGAACATTTAACCTCTCCCTTACCTGCCCCAGAGGATGGTCTCAGACCGTATCAGAGGGCTCACTAGAGCGTCTGCTCTCCATCAGAGTACAGATACCCCGGAGCAGGGCAAACTGGCTGTGCAAGGTGGACGGCACGGTACAGGGCCAGACATCCTGGAACGATGCAGGCATGGCTGTAGCCACTTACATCCATTGATTAACTGAGGATAAGCAAGGGCAGCAGAATGACTTGCTTTCCTCCGTGGCACAGTGAGAGGGCTCAGGAGGCTGGTTTCTTTCTGGCTGGGCCTGCTCTGCAACTCGAGGCTTCAAACAGAACAGGTCTGCAAAGAGGAGCTGCCTGCCTGTCCTCCAGAGAGGGGTGAAAGAGGGGAGAAAACACCCCCAGCCACCCACCTCGAGGCTGCTGCCTGAGGGGAACTGCTCCGGACACCAGATTGTCATGCAGGAGCCCAGCGGTGCGGAGCCCATGGCACGGCTGGGACGAGGCGGCATCGAGGGCTGCAGCAGGCTGCATGTTTGCCCCAGCTGCAGAAAGTGCGGTGCAGCGATGCCGCCAGTGGTGAGTTGCCATAGCAATCCCCCCAAGCATGCCCCCCTGCCTCCCTCCGTTGCCTCTGCTCTTCTAAGCCTTGCTGTCCCCTCCCCGCTGCCCCACACACAAAACCTGCTGCACAACACCCAAAAGCCTCAACGTGCTCCTAAAGGGCTGTTCATCACCGCGAGGAAGGAAAGGAGGCAGAGGTGGAAGCCCACCCCACAAGCCATCATTCCCATCCGCTTCGCAGGGAAGGTGCCTACTCCGGACCCGGGTGCGTCACACCCCACCGTGCTCGGTCCCGAGGCGCGACACAGGAGAGCCAGGCAGCCAGACCTGGGGCGCAGATGCCCCTCTAGCTGCACCCCACGTTCGAGGAAGGAAAGGAGGCAGAGGTGGAAGCCCACCCCACAAGCCGTCATTCCCACCCGCTTCGCAGGGAAGGTGCCTACTCCGGACCCGGGTGCGTCACACCCCACCGTGCTCGGTCCCGAGGCGCGACACAGGAGAGCCAGGCAGCCAGACCTGGGGCGCAGATGCCCCTCTAGCTGCACCCCACGTTGTGCTGTGGCAGGTTTACAAACAAA